ATAAAGCTGGAATCTGCACCTGCATCCAAACTTTATTTAATTTAGTCACCTTCCATTTTTTTTTTTCCTTTTTACCCCCAAGCAATGTACCTCGCATATCATGACTAACATGGAGGCTGTAGAAATATGTGGTAATCGGTGAACTTCAAGCCAAAATTTCTTTGGATTGTCCTTCTGTATTGATGCTCAGACCCTTACAGCTAATTAGGCATTTGCTAGTTGTAGCCTGCTTTTCCCAACCTCTTTCATTTCAGCTCAAAAAGGCAACATGATAATGGTGACTCTGCAGGCACTCTGCGGAATAACCAACCTTTTACTGAATCTCAGCATTACTTTCTTGCGTGGATAGCAAGTCTTTGCCTACAGATACTACCCTATACAGTCGTTCTGAAAATTTTGTCGGATTAAACTAAAAATGAAAGTGACACGAAATAATGAAAATCATATTTAAAGTTAGCTGTGTTTTAATGTGGCATTTTGCCAGTTAAATATTTTTCAAAACCATCGCAGTAGCTGCTGATTTTGAAGCTGCTTTTTCAGTATTTCTACAGGGATGGCATTTATGATAACACTGCTGTATCAGCAAAACTACCAATACAGGTATTTTACTTTTTAGCTTGCTTTATAGCCCTTTATACAAGGCCTTCCTCTGACAGTTCTGCAGTAGCATTAATTTTGTAAAGGTCCTGAAGGTCATTCTTATTTTCAGTCAACTAACAATATCTGAGAATTTTAATGATGCTCTTGTATTAGTGTTATAATATTCAGAATTGTTATAAAATTCAACAACGTATGAAAATGTCATCGCTAGGGATGAATGAAGCAGCTCATCTGAAAATGAAAATCAGCCCAAATCTTTGCAGGTGTTAAAAAAACTTAAGGTAATTTCATTTTGTCTCCCCTACCTCCACTTCTCAGGTACTTCTACAAGTTCCGGTGCCTGAAATATCATCACAATTGATTTTTCTAGACAAAGAAAGTGCTTAGAGCTAATTATCTAAACTTAAGTACAGCATTTGGTACAGAGCCATGTGGGAAATTATTAGCTAAAATGAAAGATTAGTGCAGAAATTGGAAAGTGAATAAGCAAGTGAGTAGAAGTAGGAGGAGATCAGCACTGAGGGAAGGTAGTAGAGCTTCCCAAACATCAGTCTTGGGCCTGATATTATTTAACACTTTTTATTAATGATGATCCCATAAAAAATAAGCATGTGCTAATGGAATTTACCAATGGCATAAGGGAGGGAGGTACAGTCACAGCAGAGACAAATCAAACTCTCATTTAGGAAGAACGGAGTGACCTTGAGGACCAGGACAGGATAAATTGAGTGAAATTTAGAAGGATTTGAGTGCAGGTTCATGCGTCTGGGTCTTGTTAAACAGGTTTCTACTGTACCTGTGTGCTCATATGTAAGAAAAGGATAAAGAGGGGAAAGACACAGGACTTACAAAGCAAGATATTTTCACCAGGGTAATGAAATGCTGGTAACGGGGTATGAGGCACGTGCTAGAAATCAGCCAGGAGAGCGCACGCTGTTCGCAAATGATTCACTTTCAAGAAGCGACTGGAGCAGCCGATTAGAGTGACCATGGGAAGAGGGAGTCTAAAGTGTGAGAGGAGTTTGGCACAACGGAGGCTGAGGGAGGCCGCTGTAAATGCCGCATGGGCATAAGCTCCAGGAAGAGAAAACGTCTATTTAAACTAAAGGACAACACTGGCACAAGAACAAATGAGTATAAATTGGTCATGAATAAATTTAGGATGGAAATTGGAAGCAGGTTTCCAAACAACAGAATAGTGATGTTCTGCAATTGCTTTCCAATGAGAACAGTGGAAACAGCAACAAAAACCCCCAAGCTACTTTTAAGACGGAGTATAATGAGTTTCTGAACGGGATTATATGATGTGTTTGGCTAAGATAGCAGGGAAGTAGACTTGATGACCCAAGAGGTCTCTGCCGGCCTATCTTTCTAAGCCTGTTTTTCATGACCATTGGAAGCACTTTTAAGTGCTTCCTTTCCTTCATGTATTCTTTAGATAAATTTTTTATAGTATAATGCAGGGACTGCTAGCTGGACTGATTTGTGGAAGGCACAAAACCGTGGTGTCCAGAATATGCTAAATACTCTCCAAACAAAACAAGTGTCCAGCATCTTATGGGGCAAGCCTTGGGGTGCTTAAAGAAATCACCGCTCCAGTGGACAGCAACTAAGTCCAAACAGGAGCAGCACCCCTTTGGGGTTTGGTTCTCTGTTGCTTCTCCTGCTCTCCCAAGCCTGCTGCTCTATTTTGCAGTTTGCCTTCTCAGCCCCACGGCGCATATGCAGCAGTACGAAACAGGATGGTGAACACCACTTTAGATGCACAAGATTAAATAGATAAAAATTGGAGTAGCCGGTGTGAGTCTGACAGGATGCCAGCAGTGCAAAGCTGCAGGGAAGATGGCTTGTCTGGGAGAAGGGGGGATTTCTCCAGCCTCGATGGTGTGGTGCAGAGCTGTCATGGTTTCTCTCTTCTCAGCCCAGGAAGCACCGATGTCCTTTGGTTCGGTTTATCCTGCTTGTTGCCTCAATGCTGGCCTAGTGTCCCTTGGTCCAAAATCCAGCATTTCCATTACTTCTTAAAAGCTGTGTCCCCCCGAGTCAATGTGGCCATCAAGGGATTTGAATGGAAGCCTGGGCTTTGGGGTTCAGTAGCTGGAGTTTTATGGGTTCCTTACACACAAAAGCAAAATTGGGTGTGTAAAGTGCTTTTACAGTAACAGATGCTGCTTCATCAAAGTGCTGGGAGTCTGCAGGCTGCCCTGGTAACGTGGTGACTCCCTTATTAAGAGAGCCTCTCATGGTCAAAAAATTTACGCTTTTCTACCTATGCTTTAGTTGAAATCTGATGAGTGGGGCAATGCGATCTGCAGGATTGGATGATTCTGGTTGTTTTTCCTCTCCAGCTAACTACACACATGCTTTTTCTGAAATCAGCTATTAACATTGAGAATAGGTTAAGAAATGGAAAAGTTAGATGAAATCCCCAAGAGTACAGGTAGTTTGGAAAAGGAGAAGAAATAGGCAGCAGCTTTATGAGGGAACGGTGCTTTGCTTACACCTTGTCGCCATCCACATTAATCACATTTGTAGCAGGCAGCAGCTTTAACTTTTTGTGCGAATATGTTACCAACTGGTTTAAAAAACCGAGCAGAATAGCTGAGTCCCCAGATTCGTGTAAATAGGGTAATGAACACCTGCGTAACAAGACAGAAAAGCCATAAACACGGTGGTGGAAGTTTTCAGTCCCTCTTCAGCTGAGGTTTTCTGCAGCTTTCTCAGCCGGGTGCCAGGCAGGGAGGTAGCTGCTCACTGGGGTCTCCCCATGGGGCAAGAGGCTCACGGTGCCTCCGAAAGCAGCAGCTTTGCCCTCAGGGACTGTGGTGCAGTGCCCCGCGTGCAAGCTACCCTGAGACTCGCTGGTCAGCGATGCCCATCCCTCAAAAGGAAAAGCTGAAGCTAGTTCGAAAAAAATATTTTCAAGGAAAAGCTCTATTAAAGGTCAGAACTGAAAGACACACCCTGTGAAACAGTCAAGAGCAAGTGTTTTGATTGATTGAAACTTAAAAAGAGCAGCCCTTATTTTCGGTGTTATTTAATTTTTGTTCCTGAAATGTGTGTATCTAGAGAGCTATTTTTTCACCCATCCTTAACTTCAACTGGGACATTGCGTTCTGCGAACACCTGGGTGAGATGATTTCATTCTGCCCTGTCCTGCTAGCAAACTCAATTTAAAGTGAATCAATCATAAGCATGACCTGTACTTATGGCTATATTTTAGTGAGTTATTACTCAGAAGCCCAGGTGTGAGACCGTGGCTCATCAGGGGCATTCAGTGGCCTTGTGCCAGGGATGAATTCAGCCCCGAGCTCGCTGCAGCCCAAAGGGGCCGGCCGGTGGCCATGGTTGGCTGGTGGCCATGGTTGCAGGGGCAGAGCCAACTTGTCACTGCCGCGCGGTGCCGCTGAGCGCCAGGGAACACGCTCGTTTTTTTCCATGGGTGGAAATATCTATGGGGGTGTAAAAGCACATTTTCAGCCCGTTTGCAAACAGACCCATTTGCAAGCACGTGCGTATGGGAGCTTTCAAGTGACAAGTGCACTGAGGAAATGTCTGTGACCGCAGCAGGTGAGGGAAATGGCTTTTTCAGACATGCGTCTGGATTTTGGCTGCCTGCTCATGCACCACACGAAGATGGCAGCGGCACCGATGGCGTCAGGAAGGATGTGAGGGGCCTCCTCGCCTGTGCCACGTCTCTTGCCTGCCTCCAAGCAGAAATAATGAGCGCCCCTGACGTTAACAGTGATTAAACACCACCAAAGCCTATGAAAATAACCACTCCTGAGGTAAATCGGTTGGGGGCTGGTGTCTGCGGGTGCTGGACCAGCCCCATGGAGCAGGGGCTGTGTTTGCCGCCCACGGCCTGAGGCAAGTGGCCTGGCAGGGTGGGGACAGCGAGGCCAGCTTGCTTTCTCTAGCTTCTCACCCCTGGGGATTTTAAAAATAAGAGGTTAAAAAATAATCCCTGCTTTGCAGAGGGCCTTTGGGGTCCTTCTTTGTCCCCCCTTGGGTTAACGCCAGAGGAGACAAATGCCTGGCAGCAATGGCTGATGATGGTGCCTTGGTCCTGGCCTCCCTGCCCCTACCCAGGGCGGCCATCAGCCCCGTGGCCACCGTGTCACGTTCCTGCCGAGCGGGGAGCTGCATGGGTGAAGATGGGCTGCGAAATTACACCTCTGTGAGCAAGCTGTGATGCCGTGAGGATGCTACAGCCTGCGAAAAAGGAAAACAAAAAGGGGCAAAGGAAAAAAAACCCACAAAAAAGCTGTGCTCGTTCCTCACTCTTCCTTCAGCGCTGTCTCGCCCTGTGCGGAGGCTTCAGAGGTGTGAACACATCCTGTTTACATCTGCGACCAAGACAGAGATGCTGAAGGGAGCACATGGCTGAGGAGCAGTCGGAGGCAGCGCCGTGCACAGGGAGAGCTGCCCGTGGCAGGAGACGGCTCCAGCATGGACGCGCTGCCCATCTACCATGGGGGCATCACCCGTGAAGCGGGGGAGAAGCTGCTGCTGGCGGCGGGCACTGATGGCAGCTACCTGCTGCGGGACAGCGAGAGCATCCCGGGAGTCTACTGCCTCTGCGTGCTGTGAGTGTGGCCAGCCCTGCACCACTGCCGTTGCCTCTCCGGGGTGCGGAGCGGCCAAGGGCAGTGGGGCTGGGAGCGGGGTGCCGGGAAGGGCTGGTCAGGTGGTAGCTGATTTTTCAATCTTCGCATCCATGGTATGGGGTGTCCCCATATAATGGTGACAAAATTATGTCCTGCTATTTCCATTTGCAGGCAGGAGTGAGGCTTTCAGCTCCTTCACCTCGCCTTAAGGCAGAGGGGTGCGTAAGGGCGGTGTGGGGTCGTTTGCAGGGCTAAAAGGAGCAGGTTCTGCCTTGCAGAGCCCATGCTTCCTACGGGCATAAAACAAAACGAGAAAGCAGGCCTGGAGCACATAGCAAGGACGGGTGAGGTGCCACGGAGAAGAGCCGGGCAACCTGACTTGGGACAGCGTGCGCTGCCTCTTTGTGCCGGATAATGCTCTTGCTTTCTGCCTGTTGTCTTCTGCTTCTCTAAAGCATTTATGGTTGTGCTTAGCAACATCCGCAGCGTCCCCTGTCATCGGGAAGGGTAGCATGGATCACTGTCTTCCAGAAGGTGCCTTTGCTTCAGGACGCTGTTGGTCAGGCTGTGTCCCCCATGAGCTGTCAGGCTTGGAGCAAACTACCTGTAAAATACATGAAATACTCATGGGTAGCGAAGTAAGTGGCAACGTTTCATCAAATAGGGTGAAAAGGGAAAGATCTGATGGGATGATCTGTCAGAGAGAGGGTAGAGAGGTTTCCCTGAGAGAGCTGGGGGACTTCATAGTCATAAGACCTTGTTTGAATGAGGCAATTTAATTGCCCCACCATTGGCAAAAGCAGGTGTCTCAGAAGTCCTGAGAGGTAATGCTGTACAATGAAGTACTATTGCATCAAAAGTGTCTATCATGGCTAAACAGACACTTGCGCCTTACTTCAGTAGGAGAAGGAATACAGGAGAAAACTGGTTTAGGGCCAGCAAGAAATCAGAGGGCCCTTACTTAGGTACCTGGAAAAAAAAAAACAGAAGAGGAAGAAGAGTCCTAAGTCAGGTTTTCCCCAAATGTCTTGAATACGTTTCCAACCATACATAATTAAGCCCTGGGTGAGCATTATTGTGTCCCTGTTGTAGACCAGTAAATGGAGGCATGCAAGAAGGTTATAGGCAATCCAGAAATACACAACCTTCTTTTCAGGGAAGATCTTTGTGGCAGAAGATGTATTTTTTCTTCTCTCATGAAATCAGAAGATGAACCGAGATGGGTGCTACTGCTAGCAAATACCTTAAGAGCTAAGCTGAAAAATGGGAAGTAAGAAGTAACTTGAGTTAAATGAAAATGGAATAGACATAGCAAGAGGTAAGGAGTGCTATGATTCTTGTGATGGGAATAGGCAATAAAAGCAGAATCTCTTTTAAATAACCATCAGAGGAAATGGTGATATATCTCCTTAACACTTAGAAGTCATTCAGTGCAGGTGAAACACTAAGGCATTAGAGAAAGGGTCAGGCAGAATGTTACAATGCTGAATAAAACAGAAAATCCTGAAATTAGTCCACCATTATTCTAAATCAGGGCATAGGTATGTAACAGGGTCTTTAACCTGCACACAATCAGTTGGGATTTTTTGCTATATTAGTGGTAATTTATGTCCTTTGGAAGAAATTTCATGAATGAAATAAAATATACAAAATGAAAATAGGAAGAACAGAAAGGATTGTTAACCATGAAGCTCTGCAGTCTTTGGAGGAAAAGAAAAGGCTTCAATAAGAAACAGAACTCTACCTAATTTTTTCTGGAAATTATGGGCCATTCGTGTCTTCGTGTTATGTGTTGCATTCAAATATATAAGCAAAGGGGTAAAAGCAAAAAATATTCCCGGTGAATGTTATGCAGGCTTCTTCTAGAATATAGATCCTCAATAATTTTTTTATGAGGGAAATTTTCACTAGCATCTTGGATAAATCCAGATAAAAAATTAAATGAAAAATGTTATGGTGAGTATGATCTGATATAGACAGAAAGGTGGCTGAAAAATGCTAGAGCTAAGCCTTGGTTCCAATACTTCTTAATATTTCAATTCAGAGCATTATGTAAGAAATAGCAGATAGAGTAAACAACATATCACACAATAACTTTGGAGACAGTTATCATAAAGAACCCGGGAAATGGTCTCACACTGGAGAAAGCAATGGCAGTTTAGAGGAATGTGGGCCATAAACCAGAGAAGTGCTTTGACAGGCAAAAGTTTACCAAACCAGAGCCCGTTAGTGGAGAGATTGGAGGAGTAAGGCATGGGAGAGGTATTCAGTGGAGGATGCTAAGCCTGGCTTTGGCAAAATAAACCAATGGACTCAACATCCCCCAAATTCCGGCCTGAACATCATGCACAGAGCTGAAACAGGTGACAAGCACGTAAGTGCATGAGAGCTTTGGTAATAACTAAGGGAAGCATACAGTCGCTGTATTCACTGTTTGACAAAACAAATGGAAATCACTAGGAATAACAAAGTTATGAAGAAATTTACATTTTTATCCAGAATCCATGCTGGAGATCACTCTAGGATTATTTAGATATATCTAGATTAGGCCAAACTTGTATTTACTGGAAGTACTGAAGTGATCTCTGAAACATGAGAAAGAAAGCTGGTCAGCCATTAGATGTATTGCAATAAGTATCAGAGCTAAACAAAAAAATTGTACATGTTTCCAATGACCATTTCTAACAGAAGTGAAACTGTTTCATACTGCCAGCGATGTTTCTGTTGCTCTTAGAAAAGAAAAAGAGAAAAACAGTCCGATTTTCCAAAATCAAAACATGTTCGGTCTGTCTTCTTTCCCTTCTCCTTGCACTTCCCTGGAGAAGTAAACCAAAACAAAAGTAAAACCCCCGCAGCTCCCCAGATCCAAGCTTTCTTAGGGTTTTTTTTTTACCATGGGGGAAGAATGGAGTTGTCAAAATTAAAAGGCACAGTTCTGATGGAGAGAAAAGAAACATTTATCAAAAAAGTCATTAAGCAAGTATTTGGATGACAGTACTGTCCCCAGCTTGAACTCACATACGTGGCTTCTCTGCACTTCCAGCTCCAGGTACTGTAAATGGTAAGTCCTGCTTAGGCTCAAAGAACACCGCCTTTTCCCAAGAAACTGCCTAAGTTTGTAATGCCACCACTACATCACGCCCCCCTGGGCTTCCCCCAAAAGCCCTAACGTGTTTGGCCAGTCTTTGAGCCTCCTAAGGCACGTAATAAGGGCAGCAGTGTTCACGGTCAGGCTCATTCGCCTTTTGTTTTTCCAATTAAAAAGTGAAGCCCTGACCTTTAAAAAGGAGAGGAGTCAAAGACTTCATGAATCCCCTGCGACTGACACTGATTTTACAGGGCAAGCATAAAAGAGGCAGGTAGTAGCATATAACCTGACCTACAGAGACAGATAACTGCGGCAGGCAGGCCCCTGTTGTCGGAGCATTTGGCTAGAAAACTCTGCTTGCTTTCTTCTTTGTTTCTCCTGAAATATTGCTTTATCTTGCTTGAACGCTGCTTTCTGCTGTCCGAAGTCATGGTGTGCACATGGCATGCCTGCAAGCCTTCAAAGTGAGAATGTTTTGGTTTTTTTTTTTGGTGTGGCTGTGGCAAAGCACAAAGAACCCACTTTCATAAATATTTTAAGACCACAATTAAACTATGCATGGAAGAGTAGAAAGGTTTTGATTTGCAGCGGTGTCCCCTAGGGCTCTTGCAAACAGAGGTGCTGCCTGCAGATTTTGGCAAAGTTTTTTAATAGCAGATGCTCCCAAGATCGTCATTGTATGAATACCATTATTAAATTGATAAGATATACTTTAAGGATGTTGTGTTGAATGTGTCAACAAAGGAGCACAATCTTGCCTGGAAATGTTTTAGTGTTGCATTGAAAAGCAAGAAGATTTTTGCCATTCCTGAAAACTGGGCTAGAAGAAACACATATGCTTTAAAAAATGTACACGTTTTACCTGTAAACATGTTAGACGCTACATGCAGTATACCACAGTGTTAGTATCAAACCCTGATTGTTCCAGGGAGCTTTCTTTACTGGCCTGGTTCCCTCTTCGCTCAATACCCTGTTTGACGTTTTTAGCACCCTCAGAAATCCTCTGTGCACAGCGCTCCTAATGAAGTCAATGGGGGACATGGGACACAATAATGGCGGGGAGTTTGAGCAGCAGCCTCTGAAACTGTGCCTGAAAAATACATAAATAAAATGCCTGAGAGTGCCAAAAGCACCGCTTTTCCTTTACAGATATATGAGCACACATGCAGAAGCAAGCAGCTCATGCCTGAACTGGCAAAGATAAAGCAGTTGTAGTTTGGGTCTTAAAATTCATATACTTGAAAATACTTGGGATGTTAGTAGTTATTTCAGACCTTTAAGTAAGCTAACCATGACATACTTGTCAAACTGTATGTTCAGATTATTTGTTTGAAACCAGCCATTCATGCACTGTGTTGAATTCAATTTGTGGGGAATAATCAAAAGCTGGGAGAGTGAGCTGTTTAGAGCTCTTGAAGGAACAGTAATGGCAACAGGGATCGGCTGCAGTCCTCTCAGATTTTACGTGTGCTATTTTTTCTGTCACTGTAATCACAGTGCACAAGTTCAGGCAACGTGCTGAAACTTTCTGATGCGGCAGATGTATCAGCTGTATGGCGTGAAGGTGTAATACAGGATCACGAGCCAGCTTCAGCTTAGCAGTTCTTTTGTTTCCCATGTAATATTTTTGATAGAAATGGCAGAATAATTGCATTTATTATAACACCGCACATAATAATCATCATCATTTAAAATGTAATTTGGAACAAAAGCTTCTCTCTGAGAAGGAGCCCCTCAATTCAAGGTTGCCGTTGTAAATATCACATGCTATTTTCAGCTTTGCAAAAAAAGTCTTCTGCAGCACACCGGTAAATTCTACCGAGGTGAGTATTTCAGCTCCCTGCTAATCAGAGTGAGCTTCATCTTTGTTGAGAATAACTTGGCTAGTGGC